AACTTGATGTGAAGATTGGGATGCTTGTTCTTGAATTTGGATCGAAGTTATATGTTCTTCGAAAGTTTTCAAGTCTTCAAGTATTCAAAGTCTTCAAGTTAGTCTTCAAATCTTCAAGTCTTCAGAGAGTCTTCAATTTGGTGTGAATTCTCTCAATTCTGAAATTCTGAACTTTCAAAATGAATGAGGTCCCCTCTATTTATTTCCATAGGCTTTAGTGGACCATTGGGCTTGGATAATTTTGGGACAAGCCCAATTCTTTAAATGGATTTATTTAATTTAAATATTAATCCACTTTATTTCATGGTAAATTGGGTTTTGGGCCAAGTTTGTGAACCAAAAATCGATTCCAAGCCCAATACTCATATGACCCAATTACATATTTTAATTGTCAAATTATCTTTAATTTTAATTTAGGGTTAACATATAATTAATCCCCAAATAAAATAGATAACGACGTGGCCGTTTATGATTGGCCCAAAATTTATGGTTCCACGACAATCCTTACTCATTCTCAATGATAGTGTTCAAACAACCCCAAATTCAATACAAATAGGCAATGTTGAATCCTAAAATAATCCAACAAAAAATTAGATTCATTTTGTCATCAACCTAAGGATATATATTTTGAAAATGGAAATATCTCAATTTTTTTTTTCAAATTGAGATGAGGATAGGAGTGATCATTGTTGATGATGAATAGTATAGTTAGAATTAGTAGAGTTTGGAGTATTATTGAGAGCTTCGATAATATCTCTAAGATATAGCAATTAGTAAACTAAGAGATAATGACTAAACTAAGAGATACTTAGCACACCTAGATCTTTCTTTATTTTGCGGATCATTTTAAAAACTTTTTAAAATCTAAACTAAATTTTGAGAATCAATGGCCTGCTTGATAACCATTTTTGTTTTTTGTTTTTTGTTTTTTTGTTTTTAATTTTTGGTTTTTGGTTTTTGGTTTTTTGGTTTTTTGTTTTTAAAAAAACAAAAATCATATATGTTTGATAACCATATTTTGTTTTTTGTTTTTAAAAAACAGAAAACCAAACATGTTTGGTAACCATTTTTTAGTTTTCTATTTGAAAAAGTTAGAAAAATGAAAATACATATTAGAGAGGGAAAATTTTACGTAGAGTAGAGATAACAATAGTGTGGGTGCGAGTGAGGATGATGTCTCCCGTTCTCGTGCTCGTGAAATTCTTTAATCCTTGTCTCCACCTCGTTCTTCCATCTCATAGATGTTCTTGAGAAAAATTATCGATTTTATAATTGTTTTTAATTATTTTTAGAATTAAAAAATGTGTAATAAATATATATTAATTATTTAAAAAATAAAATCGGGGATGAGGTCGGGACATGATTTCCTATTTTTGGGCCTTATCTTGCAGAAATTTTTGTCAATCGCTAATGTAGAGATAGGAAAATACAAGTTTAGAGAGATGTAAATACACTTTTGGAATATAAATTTTAGAGAGATAAATAAAAAGATTTAGAAAAAAATAGTGAAAGAAAAGTTAAAGACAAAAAGAGAAAACTTTTTGAGAAAAAAAAAAGTAAAGCCTAGAAGAAAAGATATGCTAAAGAAAAAGAAAAGATAAAAAGATAGAAAAAAATTATAATGGAAAAAAATTAGAGATAAAAACAATATTCAAAATATAATTTCTAGAGAAAATAAATAAGTACAGAAATAAATAAAACTTAGAGTGAAAGAAATTTGAACGAGAAAAGAAGATATAATTTTCAGAGGAAAAAACAGATTAGAAAGAAAAAGAAAGGTTATAAAAGATGAAATTTTAGACAGAGAAAAGTTCAGAAAAATATTAAATTTTGAGAGAGAAATGAAATTGATTTGTTATAAAAAAATAATAAATAAAAATACAGATGAAAATTTTGAACAATGAGAGACAAACAATAATAAATATTCAAAATATGAAAACTTTGAAGAGAATCATAAATCTTGTAGAGAAAAATTGAGAGTGAGAAACAAATTTTTTAGAGATAAATACGAGGAAAAAAAAGTTAGTATTAGAAAAATCAGAAATCTTTGAAAACTACTTTTTTTTTTTTTTTTAATCAGTCCACTAAATAATTTCATAATCTCACAACGTAAACAATTCAATACCTATAAAGTTTCACAACAACACATCCAAATACTCATCTTTCCATAATCATGAATATCCGTCAAACAACCATAACTCAATTAGAAAATAGATTTGGAATACGAAAAAATAAATTACCACCAAAATGAAACCTTCACGGCAAAGAACAAAGTTTCAAATGATGAACGATGGCCAGAGGGGGAAGAGAGGACGGCGATCGGAGGAGGAAGATAGGCAGTTGAAGGTGGAAGAAAGGCGGTCGGTCAGAGGGGGAAAATAGAGGTGGTTGGCCAGAAGGAGAAGAGAAACGAGCGCCAGAGGGGGAGAAGAAAGCCGGTGGCTGGTGGGGGGATAGAAGCGAGCAGCCAGAGGGGGAGAAGAAAGGCAGGCGGCCGAACGGGGAAGATAAAGAGCGGGTGGCCGACGTCAATGGAGATGTGGGAGAACGGCGCGGAGAAAACGAAGAAGAAGGGGAAGGATTTTTCAAAATCGTGAAAATGAAGAAGGAGAAGATCATTTTGTAATTGACTTTGAACGAAAATTTCGTCGTCAAAGGTAAAAAATCGTTGTCATATTTTGTTGAAAATTTAGGTGGTCAGGATATTTGGTGACAGATTCAAATTTCGTCGTCAGAAATAACTTAATTTTGTCCCCAAATATTTCGAAATAGTGCAGGCAGGAATTCCACCGCCAAAAATTTTCGTGAACTTTCAACGAAGACTTTTGGCGACGAAATTTCACTTTCGTTTGGCGACAATATGTTGCTTCATTGCCAAAAGTCTTCTATATAAACTTTCAAAACACATGAAAGTTTTGGCCACGACATAAAATTTTGTCGCCATTGGTGACTTATGGTGACACGCTTTCATTTCGTCACCATCGTCGCCAACTCCAGGATCTTGCCTCTGTATCTGTGCCAACAATCGATTTAGGATCACTTTTGAAAAAAGTATTTTTAAGTGAGACTTAGAGTGTGTTGGGAGTGACAGTAGAATGAGTGATTTTGGAAAATGATATTTAAGTATAATTGATTCTTCAAAATTACCATCTAAGCAATTTTTTAACTTGCCAAACATGATCAATGGAAAAAGAGGTGATTTTGACAATGACGAAAGTGTCAAAATCACTCCCAAACACACCCTTACTCTGTGAACGCTTCTATCTCATCTATATGCATTTTAATGGTTTTTTATCACTTTTTACAATTTCTCAGAACTACAAACTATTTTCCTTAGTGATTTAAAGGCACCCCTTAAAATTTTTTACCAAACACCACCCATTTCTAAAAAAGGTACTTTTCTATATATTTATTTATTTATTTTTAGTTCAACATATGGGTGCGACTTCCAACTTCAGACCTTTCGGTCGAGAATATATAAAGTATGTTCAAGTTGACTTTTAAAAATTACTTGTATCGTGTATAATGCACCCTATTGCTTAAAATCTAATGGTGTATCTTTTCACTTAGGTATATTGTTTTTCTGCACATGCACAGTCCTCTTTTGGCTCGCTTCAGAGTACMAATCTTTATCATTGTGTTTCATGTTAGGATTTTTATAATCAAATCGTCAGGACGAGATAGAATTGAAAAAAAAAAATTGAAGGAGTTGCTACAAGCCACCTTGGTCAAGGAGGCAGTGCATTCCTTGCGTTTTTTGCGTCGTTAGCGTCATGGTGCTATGGACAACTCATGAAACAATTTCTCCATTTTAGTGACGAGGTCTGGAAAGAGAACATCACAGTAGAGTGGCAATTTATACTCTAGTTTGTTTTCTTAATACTTTTGAGTTTAATATGAAAATGTAATCKATATATTACATTTTCATACTTTTGAGCTATAATTTTGAGTATAGTGGCTCACTGAGCTTCTGCTTTCAGAAGCCTCGCAAAAAGGAGGCTAAGAAAGACCCTTCAGCTTCCAAGCACACCTGCCCAAGAAGAAATCTAGGGAGAGCTGACGATGGTTCTTCAAAGAAGAAAAAGGATCCAAATGCACCAAAGTGGGCGATATCTGGTTTCATGTTCTTCTCTAAGATGGAAAGAGAGGTGATTTTCTTTTAATTTATTTCATAAAGACCTCCTAAGTCATCCTCATTTAGACATCTAAATGGAGAATAATTAAGGGGTAAAACTGAATTCAAAATGTTAGAAGAAAAATTTGAGAGACCAAGGGGCATAATTGAAACTAATCAAATACACGAGACCTTTCGTATAATTTTATTTTATTTTAATTTTACCCCTAATCTATGCACTTGGTTTCAAAGTTCTAAAAGTTTCAATTATAAGGGCAAAATTGCTAATGGAGGGGTTCGTTGTTGTAACAAATTGAAAGATAGGAGTAAAATTGTTGGTATAAAAAGATTATGATTGAAAGATTTTGATTATGAAACTCAGTGTACTTGGTTTACGACGAAACCTAGAAATCGATCACTGATCCAATTTGAGTACCTCCACAGGATAGACCTCAACAGAAAACTGAAACGCTGGTTTATCAAGAATACGCAAGAAAAGCACTTCGGATTGTGTATCGAGAACGAACAGGTTCAAGAGATAAGAGAATTAAGGATACCCACCAGAAACTTCTTTTTTTTCTTCGAAGAATTATTATAAGTCTCAACTATTCAACAATTAGAAGCTTAAAGATGTAAGAGAAAAAAATTATTAAAAGTGCTAACCTTAGTGGATTTAAAATCTTATTTACCTTTTTTTATCAACCATATAAGAGTAAGACAACGAAGACTCTATTTGAAGATGTTTATTTTCAAGAAAGGGAAGCCATTAGTTTGTAGTATGTCTTGGCTTTAGGATATATAGTTCCACTAACAAATTTTGGTGAGGCATAATTTGCTTCAAAAACAATGAATAATGCAATAGAGTAACAAAAGAAAAAAGAAGAGATAATATTATCAAGCACATGGGACATCTCTCATTGAAACCAAAGCAAAGTGAAGAATGTATGAATGAATCAATAGTACACCAACACTAAATCCCTCCTCTCTCTCTCTCTTTCTCTCCTCTTCTTCTCTTTGCTGGCTTTGATTGACTCTTCACCCTCTCTATCTTTCCTCTATCTCTTTCTCTCTTATTATTATTTTTTTTTTCAGAAAAAGGTAAAAAAGAAACTCAGAACAAATGATGAAATTTATAATTTAAAAAAAAAAAAGAAAAAAAATGGTGTGATTGCTGTGTTGTTGTTGTGTTGTGGGTGGGTGGTGTTCGTTTAGCAAGGGCGACCAACAAAGCAGTTGAGTGAGCCAGAGAAACGAGTGAGCCTCCTAACAAAAGTTCCAGGCTTGGCCTTGATCATGTCATGCCTGCTGTATGGCCTTCGTTTGCTTGGATTTCCAGACTGCACAAAGTATGCTCCATTCATCATTAGATCTCCTTCTGACCTCCATGTCCATGTCTTCCATACAGCCTCGGTCGCGTAGTTTCTGTTTGTAATCTGCAACCGACAACAACACACAAATTTACTCATCGTAACCTATCTGCTTAAACTGCTTAAACTTTAGGCTTCAGAAATGAAACGAACCTGTTTTGCGGCAGGGTTGGGTGGGGCAATGAAGCGATTGCCCTGGCTGATAATGGTGGGGTGTTGGCTGCCACCAATGGCGTACATGAGCCAGTGGGTGTAATCGTTGTTCACGACGTGGAAGAATCCCCATCTGCATCTGGGCATCCTCTGCACCAATCCCTTACCGAAATGGTTGAACGCTACTGTCACTTGCATGACTGAGTCGCCCTGATACGAGTCGCTCGCACCAAACAACATCACCTGCGATACAAAGTAATAAATATAAATTTTGTTTCAGAAGTTGGAATGCGACGAAGTTAAGATAGAGGGATATGGTTCGGTACGTCGTTGTGATGGGTGAAATGGGAGTTTGAGATGGTGATGGCAGTGGAGCCTTGGATTGCGTCGATGAGTCCGTCCGCGCAGTTGGACATGGAGAGATGGTCGAGCCAGATGTTGGTGGAACCGAAGATGGAGACGCCGTCACCGTCGCTGTTTGTTCGGAGGCCAACATGGTTGGTGGAGTCCCTGATCAGACCGCCGGTGGCAACGATAATGTGGTGGATGTGGAGGCCGTGGATGATCACATTCTTGGCGAATTGGATGCTGATACCAGCACCGAAGGCAATGTGGACATTGGCGCCGCGGGCATCGATGGTCTTATGGCTGGCCACAAGCAGCTCTTTGGACAGTGTAATGATCATGCTCCGACCAAAGATGATCCACAATGGCTTCTTCTGGACTGCCCCGTATCTTAGGGTTCCAGGTTTAGGGTTTACGACATCAGCGTCAGAGGGATCAGTGACGACATAGATCTTACCCTTCACACCGCCTCGGGTTTTTCGGCCAAAACCAAGCACACAAGTGGCAAGTTTCTTACGGTTGTTGGCCCAGTTTGGGTCGCAACGCCAGCACCGGTCGATGGGGTTTGTGGCCATGCACGGCCCGTTGTATTTCTTCATGCTCCTCCTCGTGCTATTGCTCCCCTCCAAAGCTCTGCCACCCAAAATTTAACAAATCAACACACAATTTTGACCAAAAAACACCTAAATATTATTAAACCGCAAAACGAAAGATAAAAAAAAAGGTAGAAAATTTGGACATACAAATGGACTTGAAGGTTGAAGTGGTCAGTGACATTCATGGGGTCAGAATGGAAGGCCTCAAGAGAAGCCATTTTGGCTTCTTCAGCCTTTTGCAGCAAGTACTCATCATATTCAGCAATCCCAGCTCTGAGAGTTGGGAGAATCACAGCCACCGAAACCA